CTGGAGCCCAACCTCTGATGGGGCAGGGAGTGAGGATTTAAAATACTGTGTTATCATCAATGACAGGTAATAGGATTGTCATTGAGAGGGAGGGCCAGGTAGGAGACACCTGGTGAGTTGCTGTCCCCAGGAATTCCTTTTTCACTCTCTGATAGAAAGTGTAGACAGGGACCATAGACCCCTGGTCTCAGGGGTCTCATACCCACCTGAAAATTGCATGAAAATTGTGTGGGAATGCGGGTGAGGGATTTTAGGTGGGGGCAGGTGTGGGGCAAGGCCGTAGCTTTCATGAGATGGTCAAAGTTGTCTTAATTCACTGAGAGGACAACCGAATCTGAATAGAGTCGGCCCATCTGACTGACTCTGAGGGGAAACACTGGAGACACAGGTGCCCAAGGATTCTGAGACACCCGTGGGAGGGGCTCCCTTCAGCTGTCCTTGTTCCCTCAGCTCTTACTTCAGCTGGGGAAACTTCCTGAGGGCTTCCAGGTCATGTTTGCAGCCTGAAGTGGAGTGACCCTGAGCTAATGAAGATAAGTTCCAGCTCCCCTCACCTACACAAGACCCTTCTTTATAATTACTCACTTTCGTGTCTAATTTTGTATTTATACTTTGCATTCTTTTTACTAAAGGATACCTACAAATTGTATAAACTTTAGCCCCCGTAAACCTTGCCTGTTTATACTGTAGAAGTGTCTCCCACATCACTACATCTCACAAGTGGAAGGTAGGTCACGCTGTTTCTACTGCCCCTGGTCACCTAGTTACCACCCCTGAGGAACTGTTACCAGTTGTTGTGCATCTTTCCAGAGACTGATTATGCATTTAAACTCTTACACTGTTCTTTACACAATAAAAGATTTTTCACAGACCAGCCTTGGTGAGGCTAAGTGGTTAAATTCACTGCTCTCCACTTTGGTGGTCCGAGTTTTGCTCCTGGGTGCAGACCTATACCACTCGTCTGTGAGTGGCCATGCTGTGGTGGGAGCTCACATTCGAAAAGAGGAAGATTGGCAGTGGATGTGAGCTCAGGGTGAGTCTTCCTCAGGACAAAAGGAATTTCTCATCTCCATATCTGGTTTCATGATTTGCTGAGGAATTTCATGAAATGTCCCTGGGCATCACTTACTGTCATTCTGAAGGAAGAGTTGTTCAAGTAAGATTCAACCAAGGACTTAGTATGGAGAAGACACAGCCCACAGTCCTTCATGTTAACAATGGAGCCATCCAAGACTTCATCGTAATTCCTATGGGATACTTAGATAAGTTCTACCCTGATGTTTTGTTTTGATTCTATATTCACATTGATTTTGAACACACAGGCACTCCCCGAGTCCCGTGCCCTGCTCCCCACCCCAACTCTCCCCTCTAGGTCTACTACAGACAATAGAAAACTGGGTGGAAGAGAGACATGGTGCCTCAATCCAGAGTCAATGCCCAGTGGACTTTGGAAACTTTGAGATTCTCCTTCATGAAGAACAAAAGGGAAATACTGTATATTCATAAATATGATGATGATGTTGTGTGAGTGTTTATTTTCTTAGTTGGCAAAAGGAATTCAGGTGGCGTATATTCTAGTGCATAATTTAAGTGGGGCAGTTAAAAATAAACACAACAAAAGTCAACATACCATAGTAAAGATCTAGATATCCTATTTATGTGGGATACAGTCAAGCATTAGTGTCCTCAGCTTTCGGCACCTCAGGCCGTAAGAGAAACAACTGGGGAATGTGCTAAACCACCTGGAGAGAAAAACACATTCTTATGATGTATTTAAGGAAGAACTTATCATGTAGAATTGTTGTAAATGTCATTGCTTACAAAAATGAAAATTATTGATAGGTATAATCTTGAAAAGATAGAAAGTTGGCTCTTAAACGTCTACTTGAAATACCTCCTAGAGGAAGATTGAGATCAAATGATGAACAATTTAAAGAAGGCCTTTTCCTGCAGATCTAAGTAAATGTGGCCTAGGAAAATCCCTTTCCAATAATCGAAACAAAGACACAGGAAAAGGAGTGTCCAGAGGGGAGAGCGCCTAGAGGAATGGGCAGTTTCATGGAGAGCATCTCTCCCGCTGACCAGGAATCCTAACCAAGAAAACTGTGGAGCTGCCAAGGACTTGTGAAAACCCCATATCTTCATCTATACTTTTACTCAGAATGAATTTGCACTGTATTCGGGGGAAGAGAGCAATGAGGGAGCCTGAAAGAAGGGCTGAGTTTTAATCAAATGTCCTCAACTGGATTAAGGTTCAAGCACAGGTTTAGAGCCCAGACTCCAAGTGTCAGAGGCGCATGGCCCTGTACAGAATATTTCCCAATTAATAGCTTTACCTGGAAATTAATCTAAGCACCCCCACCTCAGGACCTTTGCACTTGCTACTCCTCTTACCTGGGCTGCTTCTGCCTCACTTCTTTCATGTCTTTGTCCTCAGTGATGCCTGCTCTGTTTAGACTTCCAACCCCCAGCACCTACTACCCTCCACACACTTTCCCTCCCCCTACTTTCTCTGTAGCACAAATCATGACCTGATGTACCACATAATTGATTTATTTAACTTCGTGTCAGTCTCCTAAAAGTATAATGAAAATTTCATGACAGAGTGTATTTTTGTCATTTTTTTTTCACTGCTTCTACTGAGCACTCGCACTATTTCTTGGCAAATTGTAGGTTTAATAAACATATGTTGAATGAATGAATCTGAATATATTTTTATTTTTATTAAGGTCAGATTCTGCAGAGCCCATCAAGATAAATAGTTATCTTCAAATTTGCTAAACTAGTTAGTCTCTTTCCGTGTAAGAGATCTCTTTGGTTTGTTTTTGTTGAGTTCAATTATTGGTCATTGCTGCTGTTGATGATGCTGCTACAAAACTGTTGACTGATTCCCTTGAACCTGCTTCAATTCATCCTTCATTAGCCTTAGACACACTCCTAAGAGTCCTTTGTATCTATGGTCTCCCAATACCATCCATTTTCTATGTCTTTGCCCCTCAGAGTTCAGACTTCATTTTCATGGTTAAGGCCAGAGACACTGAAGTCCTGAGCTCCTGTGTGATGGTGCTTGGCTGCCCTCGGTGTCTCCTTACTCCCATCCTCTGTAGGAGGGGCAGAGTGGAGTACCTGGAACACAGAGAGGACTTCTCTCTTGCTAATATTGATCATCTCACAGCAGAAACGGCCTGCATTCCACAATGGGGGTAGGGCATAACGGATGTGGAAAGAGGCTGACAAGGTGCTTCTCATCATTTGGGAGCTAACTCAGCCCTGCCTTGTCAGAGGACATTTGGATTGGAGCAAGCTGTGAACAGAGAGTTATTGAATCACCTTAGAAGTGAAAAAGTGTAAATGAGAGCAAGAGGGAGAAACTCCATGTAGAACCAATCAGTAGACAATATTGAGAAGAGGGCGAATAATAGCTCTAGAAAATATCTTTCAATTGTTGATAAGTGGATTCTTGATTGGGGAAGTAGAATAATGTAATTCTATTCATTTAAAGATTGGGAAGTGGAATGCAAATCAGTTTCCCCACAGGTGACATGTGGACAGGCCCAAGTGTCATCTGCAGCCCAGGGCAGAGCAGCAATTGTCACAGGAGAGTGGGTAGCAACCCCGACATGCTTCCGTTGAAGATTGTTATGCCAGAGCTGGGCCGTCTTGTCTTACAGTGTAGTTTTCTTCTGTTGTTGTTATATTGTTATTTTATTTCATTTTTATTAGATAATAGTTTCAAATTTTCAGAAGTTTAAAACTACCCAAAGCATACTGTGAAAATATTTTCAAAATTCTCTCCCCTTCTCACAGTTCCTACTGCTCTCTCCTTTGAGACCATTATCACTAGGTCCTTGTATGTCTTTCCAGGCACATATGTGCATAGGGGTGTGTACACACATCTATGTACATGAATTCCTGTTCCCTTTTTAAAGAAAATATAGCATAGTATACATAGTTCTGCAGCTTGATTATTTTTTGTTAATAATTCAATTTGGAGATCTTATTTGTCAATATGTGAAGAATTTCCCCGTTTCCTTTTTTTCTATCTTTATGGTGTTCTACTATGTGGATGGATTTCATTGGTCCCTTATTTATTGACACTTGAGTAATTTTATCTTTTGCTATTGAAATAGTGCTGCAATGCATAATCTTCTTCTCTATGATTTCTAGGCATGATGATGTATCTGTAGGATAAATAATCAGAAGTAAGATTGTAACATTGATAGATATTTTACCTCCACGGGAGTTATAAGGAAGTGTGGTTGATCTTCATTATACATTTGGGCAAATTTGGAGAAGTGTCGGTTCCACATCACTGAGAATCAGACTTCTCAGTTCCTCACCTCAAACCTAGACAGAGCAGCCACTCCTAGTTCACAGTCAGGGAGGGCGGTTCATATTGTAGGTGGAGACTTGAGATGAGCAGAGCTGCTGTATGGCTAAGGGAATAATAGGCTCGGCTCAGGTTTTGAGCAAAAGACAGCCCAGCTGTACTTCCCTCTCCAGAAACTAATGAGTCAGCCTATAGACTGAAGGAGAGATGGTGGAGGACTCTGGCAATGGGAGGATAGGGGGCATGAGGGAAGGGGTGTGTTCACACCTGTAGCAGCAGAGCCTGATGCGCTTAGAGATTCAGGCATATCTGTTACATCTTGCCATTGGGTGGTTTCACTGCTTCTTTTCCTCCCTGAAAAGTTCCCTGCCCGTGACAGTTTTCAGTTGAACAATCCTGAAACTCAACTGATCGGAAGGAAATGACGTCTAATGTGGAAGAGACCACATAAAAATGTAGGTATTTTGGGCGGTGGGGAGTGGTGTTCAATCTTTTCTCTTCTCCCCATCTCCCCCCATGGGGTATATTGGAGACCAACTTCTTCCATCCCCCCAAGGTTTAACCCCCCCAATCTGCCCTCCTCCTGTTCCCCACCCATTTCCTACCCCCTCCCCCCCAGCCAATGGAGGGCATGGATGATGAGACGAAGCTGAGGCTGCATGGGTTGCAGCAGTGCTACATGAAACTGAAGGACAATGAGAAGAACCGGAAGCTCTTTGACCTTCTGGATGTCCTTGAGTTCCACCTGGTCAGTTGTTCAAGTTCCAGTAGGGGGATGAACATATCTCCAACTGTAGGAGAAACCTGTATTAAGTACCCTTTTATTGAGAAAACCATGTGTCTGATTTGAGAGAGAATGGTGGAGAAATTCTCTTACATGTAATTCTTTTAAATGAGAATATAAATATCTTTTTGGGGCTGGCCATGAACAAGGTGTAAATTGCTTTTCTGTTCCATGGCTGGCACCAACAGGTACTCAATAAATAAGAACCTCAATAAATAAACCTCAAAATATGAAAACCCTTGAGGGGTTTAATAAGTTCGTAAAAGTCCCCAAATATCTTGGGGCTGTTAGGTCCTTAATTTGCTTGTTAGTTCTTGTGTTACTGACGGAGGAAAAGCCTTCCATCACTGTACCTGTTGTGCAGTTTTTCATCACTAAAAACGACTTTCTAGAATAGGGTAGGTTGCTTATGTTCAGTATTTTGATGAGCAGGTATATTGGTCATGGTCTTTCTAGACTTTAGTTCTAATTTTTACCACTTCTTCTAGGGGTGTCCTCATCCTTGTCTCCTAACATCTGGTAATTTCGGTTACTGTTCTCTGCATCTTCTCTGTAACATGTCTGCTCAGGAAAACTCAAAGCTGAGAGAGAGAAGCTAAGTTATATCTAGAGCAGAAGAGGAAATATGTGATGGAGACTAAAACTTCCTTTAGAAAAGTGTAATCACTGAAAACTCCTTTGCACATAATCTCTCTCACACACCCATGAACACACATCCCCCTTCTCACTCAGATGCAACCCCCCCCCCCCCACACACACACATAGGTGGAGATCTTTGTGAAGTCTGTGCAGTGTTGCTTTGCCCTGGCCCAGCTCTTGGTGGAGCAGAACTTCCCAGCCATTGCCATCCACCGACAGATGCCCCAGGAGGAGAGATGAGTCAGAGATGGGGAAGATGTTTTGTGTCCTTAGGAGGAAAAGAGGCCATTGAGAGAAGGGACTTTCAACATTTTCCTAATTTCCTCTCTCGTGAAGGCTTTCTCGGTATCAGCAGTTTAAAGATTTTCCATGACGAATTCTTGTGGCTACCAACCTATTCAGCCGAGACATGGACATCGAGCGGGTGAACATTGCCTTTGACTACCACATGCCTGAGGATTCTGACACCCACCTGCATTGGGTGAGCCTCACACCAAGAAGAACACCCCATTATCCTCCTCCAACCCTCTATTTTCTGTATCTTTGCAACCTTCCATCTTCATCCCTCCTTTTTGGTGTCTTCCCTTTTTGGGGGTCTTCCAGTTCTATCCTCTGTGTCCTTCCAGGTGGCCAGAGCAGGCCAGTTTGGCCCCTAGGGCTTGGCCATCACATTTGTGTCACGTGAGAATGATGCCAAGATCCTCAATGATGTGTAGGATTGCATTGAGGTCAATATTAGTGAGGTGTCTGATGAGATAAACATCTCCTCCCACAGTGAGTATTGAAACTGGCCTCCCCAACTCTTTAGATTCCCCTTGTTCTTTAGTGTGTTTGTTGTAAATCCTACTATGTAGCAAAGCCTCTGCTGCATAATGGACACTTGACAAGTTCATAGCCCCCTGGTCTAGATGCCCTGTTGGGATGTTTGTTGGATCTACATGGGGTCGCTTTCTTTTCTTGTGACATTTCTTTTTCCCACCCTCAAGTCTATCCTCTGAACCCACACACCACATAAACAACTGCATGTATGGGTGTGTGTGTCTCTGCCAACCTCACTTTTTCTTTTCTGTGTCTTATCCTAACCATACCATGTTTTCTCTTCAGTTGAACAGACTCAGTAGAGGACTTCCCCACCCATTCTGGAATGCGACAGCTGTCCTTCTTCAGGAGATGACACCAGGGGTAGGAGCAAAGGATACGCTACTACCACTTACCCCCAACCCCCGCTTCATGGCTTCCCCTTTTGCATCACCACCACTTCTAAACCTCCATTTCCTGATTTGTCAGAACTTTTTTTTAACAAAAGTAGAAAACACATGCGTCTGTGATGTCTGTAAATGCTCCGTCCCTTTATTGGTTTTGGGGTGACATTATTTTAGGCTATGATCCAGGGTATATTCCTGTTAAGGAATGTGTGCCCTACTGTGGGGCAGAGGTCTGTGGGAGGGGTTAAAGTGGGGATGTGACTAAAAAGACTGCAGAGACCATGGCTCCCCACATTTTTCCAATTTCTGACCCTTTGTAGAGGTGTCTTCCGTTTGTCTGAGTGGCCTGGGGGAGGCTGGGATGTTTCTGATTGAGGAGCTCGGTGAGCTGGTGCGTAATATTTCCTTTGTTGGAGGATGAAGTGGGAACTGGTGGAAAGCTTAGGCGTCTCCTCTCAGGCTGTCTCTGTGTCTCCTCATCTGTTCCTTCAGCTTCTGGGTCTTGAGCACCAGGGCGTGGGCTTCCCAGGCCCCTTGTTACCCTTCCAGTAGGGCCTGGGACAGCTCCAGCTGCTGCTCCAGCAACTCCTCAGCTTGGGTCAGCTCAGCTGAGGGGGTGGGGCTGGGGATCCTGGGTGAGGGGGACATTGGGGAGGGAGCCAGGACAGGGGCCTGAGGCACGTTGGAAGTCAGGAATTAGGCCTCTCCCATTTTGGGACCCTATTGAACGTCATCTGTACTGTGCAGCCCACCTAGCTTCCTGTGTTAGGTAAAGGCCTCTAGGCGATAGGGGCTATGACTGGCCTGGTACATGGATATAGGGTTATGGGAAAAGAAAGACTGATTGTCCCCATCCCTCAGAAGCAATGACCTCTTAGATGGGAACTCTTCATGGACTGTGCAGGGAGGGAAGCGTGTGGGAGAGGGAGTCCTGAGGCCTGGAGTGGGGTCGGGGTGGGGAGCTGAGAGTTGGAACAAGGCAACAAACTCCAGGAGTGTAGGGAGCTGGTATCTGCAGGTCTGTGGTGCAGGATAAGTTTGAAAGGATCCCCTCGCAGTAGAAATACCCCTCACATGCCCCTCACGACCTGCACCCCCACACTTGGGGCTGCTTACCTGTGAGTATGACTTCATCTTTCACCAATACCACACTGTGTTGGTTACCATAGCTTTATAGTAAGTCTTGAAGTCCGGCTGTGTGAGTCCTCTGACTCTGCTGTCTCATGGTGTGCTGGCTACTCTGGCTCTTTGGCCTCTCCATATAAACTTCAGAATGAGTTCATCAATATCCCTGCTGGAATATTGACAATATCAGCTGTCAATATCTATATAACTTGCTGGGATTTTAATTTGAATTCTGTTGAATCTATAGATCAGCTTGGGAAGAACTGACATCTTGACAAGATTGAATTTTCCTATCCATGAACGTGGAATATTTTTCCATTTATTTAGTTCGATGATTTCTTTCATCAGAGTTTTCTAATTTTCCTCATATAGATCTTGTACATATTTTGATAGATTTATACCAAGTGTTTAATTTTTTGTGTGCTAATGTAAATGGTATTGTGTTTTTAGTTTCAGCTTCCAGTTGTTCATTGCTGATCTATAGGAAAGTGATTGACTTTTGCATATCAACCTTGTGTCCTGCATTTTGCTATAATTGCTTAGTTGTTATTCCAGGAGTTAGTGGCTGTTGTTGTTGATTCTTTGGATTTTCTACATAGACAATCAAGTCGTCTGCCAACAAAGAAAGTTTTCTTTCTTCCTTCCCCCTCTGTATATCTTTTATTTCCTTTTTTTTTTTATTGGGTTTGTATTAGCTAGGACTTCCAGTCTGATGTTGAAAAGGAGTGGTGAGAGGAGACATTCTTGCCTTGTTCCTGATCTTAGCAGGAAAGCCTCTCGCTCTCACTTCTCACTATCTAGTATGATGTTAGCTGTGGGTTTTTGGTAGATTTTTTAAAAATCAGATTGAGGAAGTTCCCCCTCTATTCCTAGTTTGCCAAGAGTTTTTATCATGAACGAGTGCTTGATTTTGTCAAATGCTTTCTCGGCATCTATTGAGCTGGTCTTGTGAATTTTCCTTTTTAGCTTGTTGACGTGATGGGTTACATTAATTCATTTTCTAACGTTGAACCAGCCTTGTATACTTGGGGGAAACCCCACTTTGTTATGGCATATAGTTGTTTTTATACATTGTGAGTTACATTTGCTAATATTTTGTTGAGGATTTTTGCATCTATGTTCATGAGAGATATTGGTCCATAGTTTTCTTTTTTCTCAATGTCTTTGTCTGGGTTTGGTATCAGGGTAATATTGGCCTCATAGAATGAGTTAGGAAGTATGCCTCCTGCATCTGTCTTCTGGAAGTGATTGTCGAGAATTGTTATACTTTCTTCCCTAAATGTTTGGTAGAATTCACCAGGGAACCTATCAGGGCCTGGTGTTCTGGAATGTTATTAATTATTGATTCAATTTCTTGTATCAATCTAGATCTATTTGGATTGTCTACTTCATTTCACTTTTTAACATTATTTTTTGAATAATATTAGTTTGTAGAAGAGTTGTAAAGCTACAACACAGATTTCCCATATACCCTTCACCCAGCTTCCCTTGATGTTAACATCTTACAAAACCAAAATGTCAAGACAACAATGTTTCATTCTTACAAAAACAAAATGTCAAGACTAAGAAACTTGGAAACTAACCTTGGTGTAATAGTATTAACTAAACTATAGAATTTATTTGGATTTTACCAATCTTTCCACTATTGTCCTTTTTATTTTTTGTTCCAGGATCCAATCCAGGGTAGACTAATATGCATTAAGTTATCATGTCTCGTTAGGCTCTTCTGATCTGTTGAGTTTCTCACTCTTTACCTGTTTTCATGACCTTGAATGTTTTGAAGAGGAATGGAGAGAGAATTTGTAGAATGTCACTCAGTTTGGGTTCATCTGATGTTTTCTCATCATTAGACTGGTGTTCTGGGTTTGGGGGAAGAATGCCATAGAAGTGAACTGCCCTTCTCATCACCTCATGTCAGGGGGAGCATGATGTCAACATGACATTTATCTCTGATTAAATTATGTCTTCCAAGTTTCTGTAACTTTTCCCTCTCCATATTCTATTCTTGAAAAGTGAGTCACCACGTCCAGCCCCCTTTCAAGGGGAGAGAAAGTAAGCTCCACCTCCTGGCAGGGGGATCCTCTTGCATCTATGTTCACGAGAGACATTACTTGGAATTCTTCTGTAGGGAAGATTTGTCCCTTTTTCCCATTTAAAAATTTTCAATCGCTTATCTATTTCAGTGTGAACTTGATATTTACTTTATATTTTGGGTCATAATCCAAGACTATTGTTATTTTGCTGCTCAAATTGTTCCAGCTTTGTTCCTAGGGAGCTCTTTCATGTTGGTTCCTGTGTCCCTTTGACGTGCACGATTTTGTGGAGTTGCACTTCTCTTCTGCTTTACAAGATGTTCCAGGCTCATCTTGTGTCTCAGCTCTAGAATCAGCTATATATCTAAGGATCCCTGGTTCCTTTTATTGGAGAATGATATTTAGAGACTAAGATCTGGGCACAGGGTGATGATTTCACTTTCTAAAGAGGACACAGAAGTTCTAAGAGCCGTCCAAGCTCACACAGGCAAATAGACGGCTCTAACTTCAGCACCATGTTCGAGTTTGTTCAGTGCAGCCTTTAGGACCCAACTACTATGGCCAGTTCTCCATACATGCCTCTCTCTGTTAAAGCTGCTGTGTTTTCGGTCTACAGGGCTTAGACATTAAAATTTGATTTCTTAATATTTGGAGACTTTCCTAAAAGAAAAACTTTGATCTTACAAAATTGACTAGAATAGGCAAGAGAAACAAAAAAGCATCTGGAGCAATCTCTTGTATTTTTCTTTCATGTGGAATATTTTCCTCTTCTTGCTGCTGTTTCCATGTCCCTGGGCCTGGGGGAAGGATGGCTCCCTTGGACTATGAGAGAAAAATGATTTGGAAACTTCTTCCTTCATTGCCTCCCCCAGCTCTTCAGCTTCTCCTCTGGCTGTGCCCATCCTCCTCCCCCACCCCTGGCCCAGGAGCCCTTCCTGCCTTCAGCCTCACCTAGAGCCCAGCCTCTCCCCTAGAGCTGCCCCTTAGTGGAAGTGAGCCATTCCTACCACAGGAGGGCAGAGGAGGAGAGGGAGAGGTCAGAGCCTGGGGCTGTGGGAGAAGGAACAGCAGGAAAGAAGGAGGTTAGAGTAAGAAGGACTTCTGAATGAGGGTGAGATGTGAGTGATCAGAGGGGGACTGAGGACATTGCTGGCATCTCCATTGAGAAGGGGAGCATTAGGGGCAAAGAACATGGGCAGAATCTGGATGAGGTTCACTCCCACGCTCACCCGTGTCCTCTGAGAAAACCCCAGGTCATAGCAGGGGGCCCTTCAGGCCCAGGTCATGCACCAGACAGGTGTATCTTAGCTCCTCTCCAGCGAAGACCCCACCAGTGCCCAGCCCTTATGTGTTTTGTCCCTGCCGTGTCAGGTTCCCCTGAGTCCTGAGTCCACAGTCAGCTCCTTCCCTTCCTGCAGCCAGGTCAGCATGGTGTTGGCAGGTAAAGAGTCAAATGCTCAGCCTCTCACAGTGTGATGGCCCTCATGGTCCTCCTTGTCAGTCACCACGACCTTGGAGGACCCTGGTGAGAGACAGTAGAGAGATGGAGTGAGGTTGGGCCCCACCTTCTCTTCCTCCCTCTTCTCCTAGTCTTCCTCCACAGCAGCGCCTCCTCCCTCCCCCAGCCCCAGGACTTCTGAAAGCCCAGGCAGGGAGGGGGGAAGCCCACTTCTGTGCCAGGAGTCTCTCCACAGTGTGCGCATTCCACTCCCACTGCAGTTGTATGGCCTGCTCCGTGCAGAGCCCGGGTACTCGCAGAAGGCGATCCAGGAATGTTCTTCCTTCAAATATCTGCGAGGCTCAGTTCTTCACCTGCTTCAAGTCTGCTCAGCTGTCACCTCAGTGATGCCCATCCTGACCTCACTATTTAAAAGTGCCACCTCTCCCATCACCTTGCATTGACTGTCGACTTTACATTGTTTTTTTCCTCTCTCTCTTTATCACTTTTTAACACACAATGAAGTTTTCTTTTTCCAAGGATGGCCTAAGCATTATCCCCCATCCCACAGGCTCCTTTACAATGTGACCTCGCCATCTCCTCTCTAGAGGTGGGGCCTAATTCCCTTCTTCTTGAATCAATGACCAGCTTTGACGACTAGAACATGGAATGGTGACATAGCTTGAATTCTGAGGTTCTGACGTAAGAAGCCTCGTGGTTTCTGACTGGGCCACTTGCAACACTCCCTCCTGGACCCCAGGTGCTGAGCTGAGAGCAGCTAAGCCACGTGGAGAAGCAGGTGGAGGAGAACCTAGGTGCCCCTGTTAACAGCCCCAGTGAGCTCCCAGTCAACAGCCAGCATCACCTGCAGCCCCATGATGGAGCCCTCTTGAATGTTCTGGATCAGTCGGGCCTCCAGATGACTGAGGTCTCAACCCATGTCACATGGAGCAGAAGAGCTGCCCGACTCAGCCCTGTCAACCCACGGAATGAGAGAGAACGAAAAGGTTGTTGTGTATTTTAGGACTGTTTGTAACCCAGCAATAGATGATGGGAACACATCCCATATAATGTATTACTATTATGCTGTTTTCATGTATTGTCTGTCTGTCCTGTCAGACTGTCAGCATCAGGAGAGCAGGTGTTTTGTCTGTTCTGATTAAATGATCCCCAGGCCTGGAACAATGCCTGGTACAGAGGCGCTCATGGAATATTTGTGAGTGAATGAGGAAATGCTGTGACCACGTTCCTTAGAGCTGAGTCTGAGGCTGAAAGGGAGAGTTTATGGTGTTGGTTTGGAGGTTGTCTTCCTCAGCTCTAGCTGCTGTAACAAAATACCACAGACTGGGGAGCTTAAACAGCAGAAGTTTATTTTCTCACACTTCTGGAGGCTAGAAATCCAAGATCAAAGTGCCAGGAAATTTGATTTCTGATCGGGTCTCCCTCCTGCCTTGTGGATGGCTGTCTTCTTTCTGTGTCCTCACATGGCCTTTCCTCTGTGTGCAGAGAGAGATCTCTGGTGTCTCTTTCTCATAACCACCAGTCCTATCAGACAGGGCCCCATTCTTATGACCTCATTTAACCTTAATTCTCTCCCTAATGGCTTATCTCTAAATACAATACCATTTGGGGTTAGGGCTTTGACATACAAATTTTGGGGGACACAACTCAGCCCATAACAGGGGTCACCCGTGATGTGTGTGTGTTTGGATCCTACCAATTGGTCTTGGTTTCTGGAACCCCTGGACAACACAGTTCTCAACACTGCCCCAAACTCATGTCTTGCCACACGAGCACAGCAGATGGGAGGTGCCTGGCCACCAACTGCTCCAGATGTCTCTTGGGCCAGGAAGGGGGTCTGCCTAGGATGTGGGGTCATGGGTGACTGCTGCCCAGATCGCAGTGGTGGCTTAGCTGTGGCATGTGGGGCTCTGGGACACCCTCCCCTGGCTTGTGGACCCCATGTCTGTCAGGCTGCTATAACAGAATATCATAAATTGAGTAGCTTATAAACAACAGAAGATTATTTCTCACAGTTCTGGAGGCTGAGAAGACCAAGATCAAGGTGCTAGCAGCCTGGGTGTCTGGTGAGAACCCTCTTCTTGGTACATAGATGGCCGTCTTCTCACTGTGTCCTTGCATGGTGAAAGGGACTGTGGGGTGTCTTTCATAAGGATGTTAATCCTACTCATGAGGGCTCCATTCATGACCTAATCACCTCCCCAAGGGCCCACCTCCAAACACCATGACATTAGGGATTAAGTTTCAATATATAGATTTTTGGGGGACTCATTCAGTCTATAGCACCCTCAAATTCCTGGGTAAGTTGTCAGGGTAGAAATGAGATTTAGGGCTGGGGCTGCAGAGCTCCTAAGTTCAGGATTTGGGACAGCACAGAGCAGGGCCAGAGGAGTCCAGTCTGAGGATCCGGGTGCTAGTGTCACCAGAGAGGAAAGGGATGGGATCCCCAGAGTCCTTGGCCAGTGAGCTGCAGAAGGTATACTGGCCACTACTGGAAATGGGTAGTTGGTTGCCTGGGTCCTTTTGTTGAGATCCTTGTAGCCCCACCACATGTTCATCAGCTGGTGCTCAGGGGCCCCTTGGCCTGGTTCTCAAAGAGGAGGAAGGGACAACTGGAGGCTGGAACCACTGGCTGCTCTGGGCTGGGTTCAGACGTGGCTGTGATGTCCTAGCGCAGGGAGTGAGAGCCTGGAAATTCTGGGAATTTGGGATCAGGGCTGGTCCCTACAAGGGCAGCACAGGCACTTGCCCTTTGCTCTCTATGGTCCAGTACTCAGAAAACCCTCTCCAAACACAACCGCACAGGTGTCCCCTAGGCCATTCCGTCCCATGCCCCTCCCTTCCCTGGCTCCTTCTTCTCCCCTCCTTGTAACCTCTCCTCCTCTGATGTCCTTATTTCTGCACTGTCCTCAGTTCCCCAGGAACATCCTCTCCTTTTTAGACCTAACGCTGTGGGGGCTTTTCTCCCCGACCCCCATCCCATATCGTGAGACTCACTGGACAGAGTCCAGCTCCAGAGGCAGCAGCAGGAACAAGTCATAAGGACTCAGGGGTCCTGGATCCCATCCTGGGAGACTGAGGGCACCCAGCTTGTTTTGGAGGATTATTCTGCACCTGGGAACCAGCTGTTATGGCCTGGAGACCTCCCTGTGCCCTGAGGCAGAGTCTACGGTGACTCAATGGGGAGGAAATATCTATGTCACTGTGGATTTTGGGAAAAACTTCACAGCCTGAACCTGACGCAGGACAGAGGCATCCCCTTGTGTGCAGAGCCCAGTCCTGCTACTGGGGGCCCAGAGAGACCCTGCAGAGGTCCTGGATGAGCAGGAGAAAAGGGAGCTGGGTATTCTGTTCTCAGCACTGTGGCCACACACAGGGGCACCACTGCTTTGCTCTCAGATTGTGACTGACCTGCCTGGGAGGGTCTGGGCTCTAAGTTGGTCAGAAGTGGATGACCTGGAGGCTGGGCATCAATGGGGGGAAGAAGCTTCTGAGCAGCCCTGGACTCCACAGGTGTCAAGGTCAGGGGTGGAACAGGGACTGAAGGAGAAGAGAGCTCAGGAGCCCTGTGCCGGCTCTGAGGTTCCCATCTCCTCCCTGTGACCCCTCTCCAGCCTTTGACGACCACACCCGGGAAACTGAAAAGTACAAACATTTTCTTCTACTCTATTTCTTTTCAGTACTCCTCCTTGATGTAGCAACAATAACAATATTTGCATAAATTTTTCTCAGGAGGATACATGGGAAATTGGTAACATGCTCATTTCTGGCAGGGGACCTGAGGGGAGAGTGGGGAGGGAGGAAAATTTCCCACCGTAAACCCTTTGGAATGTCTTGAATGATCTTTTCAAAATATGTTACACTAAGAATCTCTTTCATTTGCAGGACACTTTCCAGTTAACACCCAGTTTACACAGATGCAGCCGTGTGATGGGCCTGTTCCCACCTACAAACACTGGTTCTTTACCCACCACACAAGAGGGGCCAAAGAAAAACTGAAACGCCAGGCTTATGGCAAGGAAAGGGCTTTTATTTCAGGTGACATCAGCCGGGAGACGAGAGTGAGCCCTCAAATTTGTCTTGTTTTGTCTCATCTTCCAAAAAGAGGGAAGGTGAGGGGTTTCCAAGGTCTGTGAGGAATGTGGCTGCTTGTAAACAGGCAGGGGGAGTCAGTGGGCTTGCTGGTAGGAGCTTTCCCACCAGCCTCCATTAGGCCTCGGGAGCTGCTTGCAGGGAGGAGGAGGAGGTGACAAGGAATCCAGGTGGACGACCGTGGCTGTTTGTCTCCATGACAGATAGTGGATTCTGGAGCCAGGGAGCCAGGGAGTAAGCAGGGAAAGAGTGCTTTGGTTTTAATCCCATGTATGCTGCATTTAATGTAGGGGAACTGATATCAGGGCCGGCATGAGGCCGAGATGCAGGCCCTCCACTGTGTGGTTCCTCCGGTATGCCCAGGGTGTTCACACTCAGAGCCTTCACTGTTGTTCCCCAGCCTGATAATGTGTCTGCGAGGCAGCTCTTCCCTCCCTGAACATTCTCTCCAAAGGTCCTCACTGAGAGGCTCCTGCTGCACCCCTGCACGTGGCACCTTCAGCCTCCCCCCCACCCCTGCCCTGCTTTGCCTTTGTTCACACCCTGTTCACTAATGCACATTTTTACATGTGCTTATTTAATTGTTATTGTCTGTCCCTCCTCTAGGAAATGAGCTTCATGAGGACAAGGATGGGGATTTGATTGTTCACGGCTGTGTTTGCACTGCCCTGGAAGTGCCTGGTTGTTGATTTAAAAATATTTGTTGGGGCCGGCCCGGTGGTGCAGCAGTTAAGTGCGCATGTTCCACTTCGGTGGCCTGGGTTTCGCCGGGTTGGCATCCCAGGTGCGGTCATGGCATCACTTGGCAAGCCATGCCCTGGTAGGCCTCCCACATATAAAGTAGAGGAAGATGGGCATGGGTGTTAGCTCAAGGCCAGTCTTCCTCAGCAAAAAAAGAGGAGGATTGGCAGCAGATGTTGGCTCAGGGCTAATCTTCCTAAAAAAAAAAAGATTTGTTGAATGATTGAGTGAATGAATGTGTGAACGCACATGCAGACTGACACACTCACCGACACACACTGCCGGACACCAACACACAGGTACTGTCACACACACTGACATATTCATACACAGAACACACACACACACACACACACATTGGCACACACACAATTCTCACACACGCACACTCTTGAAGCCAAATTTTCATTCAATGTTATATTGTGAGCATTTTTCATGTCATTATGCATTGTTATTTCAAAAATTTTCTCCCAATTATTGTAAAAGATTTCAAACATACTTCAAGTTTGAAAGAATAGTACAATGATCACTCTAGTTTTAATCATCTTAATATTTTCCCGTATTTTCTTTATGTATGTAATAAATAATATGGCTATAACTTTTGCCGAAAAACTTGAAAATCACTTGCCAACATCATGACTCTTATCCCTAAAGAGTTCGATATTCATTGATTAAAAAATAACCCTTTAATTCAAACTATATTATTACACTGAAGAAAATAACTGTATTTCCCTAATACTCTACAATGTCACAATAATATAAAATTCTTTTAATTTTCCTCCGAGTGTCTTTCATTTGGAGAAGAGGAGAGCTCACTGTCGCCTGTGCCGTCTCTGAGGTTTGCTTCTTCTCGCAACCCCTCTCCCAGCCCCTTGATGTCAACACTCTAGGAAACCGAAAAGTGGAAAGATTTTCTTCTGCTGCCTATTTCTCAGTTTTGTGAATAAAATCATGTCTTATTTGAGACCATCTCAGTGTCTACATAATATTCCATAGTGTGGACATGCATATTGGGACTATTGAGACTAGGAGCACAGCTGCCCTAGGCTTTCTGTCTCCCCTAGTAAGACAGAAGAGGGACCCCTGTGCCAGGGATCACACGTGGTGCCCCAGAAGTCACATCTCCAACAGCAGGTGTCAGGCAGACCTGAGACCAAGTGTGAACACACTC